CCGTGGTTAATATCTACACCAGACAACCGGAGGGGGAGGAAAAGTCCCTTGATCAGGGGCTGAAGTGCCGAAGAGAGGGAGAGAGTGCAGAGGAGGAGTGAGGGCAGAGGAGGAAGAGGGCATAGTAGAGGAGGGCCGAGAAAGAGGGAGAGAGGGCAGAGGAGGATGGAGGGAGGAGGGCAGAGGAGGGAGAGAGGGCAAGGAGGGAGGAGGACAGAGGAGAGAGAGGGAGGGAGAGAGGGCAGCGGAGGGAGGGCAGGCGAGGGCAGGGAGGGCAGAGAGGGAGAGAGGGCAGCGGGAAGGGAGAGAGGGCAGCGGCAGGGAGAGATGGCAGAGGAGGGAGAGGGAGGACAGGAGGAGAGAGAGGGCAGTAAGGAGGGAGAGAGGGCAGCGGTAGAACACGCGTTAAAGAGGCCCGCTTTCCGTAGTTCCGGTTAAAGAGGTCCGCACATTAAAAGGCGGTGGCCGCTTTCTGCTGTTACGTTTATGCGTTCATCCCCGCGGCTTCATCTTTCCAAAGTTACTGTCAAGTTTCAAAGCATAAACCGGCCACCCCTTTTAATGTGCGGACCTCTTAAACCTTTGACTCCGAAAAGCGCGGGCCTCTTTAACGGAGCTCTGTTCTAGCGCTGCCCTCTCTCCCCTCCTCTGCCCCTCTCTCCCTCCTCTGTCCTCCCTCTCCCTCCTCTTGCCCTCTCTCCCTCCGCTGCCCTCTCTCCTCCGGCTGCCCTCATCTCCCTCCTCTGCCCCCCTCCCTCCGCTGGCCCTCCTCCGCTGGCCCTCTCTCCTCCCTCCTTCCTCTGTCCGCCCTCCCTCACGCTGCCCTCTCGCCCTCCTCTGCACTCCCTCCCTCCCTCCCGTCCTCGCCCTCTCCTCCCCTCCTCTGCCCTCCCTCCTCGGCCCTCTCTCCCTCCTCTGCCCTCTCTCCCTACCTCGCCCTCGTCTCCCTCTCTTCGCACCATACACCCCCTGATACAAGTGACTTTTCTCCCCACCGGTTTTTTCTGTTGTAGATATTAACCACGTTTCATTTTAAAAGAGTATTATTAATTTGTAGCCTCCAAAACACCTTTAAGTTTTTAGCAAACATCAGCAGGACACGCTTTTGTCGCTGCGCATGTGAGCTGTGTTACGTGATGATTTTGATTGCCGCTGCAATGACTGGACAAAATTAATAACGTTCTTAAAATATAGTTAATAGTCTTTTTTGTGTGGAAATCACTTGCGACCCCCCCAGGGGTTCCCGCGACCCCCCGGGGGGTCAGACCCCCCACTTTGGGAACCACTAGAACTCAGTGGTCTAAACTGTGCGCTTACGATGCAGGACCCCGGGTTCGATTCCCGGCTATTCTTTTGGTATTTATTGCATGATATCGACATTCTTGACCAGATGGCTCTTAAAAACGGTAAAAGAATGAAGGTCAAGACGTTGTTTTTGCAGATTTATAGCTTAATTGTAAAAATATATCATTAAGACCACATGTACCCCAATAAACATAATGTTTAGTCTCTTTTTGATGTGGGGACTTTTACATGTAAGGGAATAAATAAAATGTAAAGTGAGATCCTCTTGGAGACAAAACCCTGATGTTGATACGCTGAAGAAATAACGTTCCAAAACATCCATTCTTCCCAACTCCTATTTTTGAACATCAATGCTTATTTATTTTTGCATATACTATGTATATACATTGCTTTTATTTTGTTTTTGTTTTTTTATCTCAAATGTCCAAATAATAATATTAAAAAAACATGAATCAAAACATTCATTCAGCATTAGCACCGGCTGTTATATTGCTTGCAAAATCTTCAATCATAACCTTTTGAAATCAGGTTTGGTATCTGTCATTTCTATTACTGTTTTAACATTGGTTTTTGTCTCTTGTTGAACTAAAAGGACCTGCAGAACGAAGGGCTGCTGTGTTTGCGGCCTCTCTGCAGCTTCTGGGCAGGGGAATTCTGACAAATTACTGCACTACGCGGCCCGATGCCTACCGTTTTGGACACAGCCATACACACACACGACAGAGCTCTACTGCACACCCAAGCCAAACACTATCCCCACCAATGCGCCATTGCAGATAGCTGTGCTTTTGCAATTCGTATAGCTCGCTGCGATACTTTGGTTGTTTGGATTCCTGCTAGCCTCCTGCTTCTGCATGCTACTTGCTAGGCTACACTCCTTTGTTGTTTAGCATAAGGCTAACTTCCGGTTCCGGTGCGCTACTTCCGGGGCTGCACTGCGGAGGTGTTTACACTGATTCTAACCACACTCTATCACTAAAACTGCTAGTTTGTTGTTAGGATTAATGCCACCCTGCTTCCCCAAATTGCATTCTATTACTAAACTCAATATTTTGGTGTTTAGACTATTGCTAACCTCCTGTTTCTGCATGCTACTGGCTAAGCTACATCCCTTTGTTGTTTAGCATAAGGCTAACTTCCGGTTCCGGTGCGCTACTTCCGGGGCTGCACTGCGGCGGTGTTTACACTGATTCTAACCACACTCTACCACTAAAACTGCTTGTCTGTTGTTAGGATTAATGCCACCCTGCTTCCCCAAATTGCATTCTATTACTAAACTCAATATTTTGGTGTTTAGACTATTGCTAACCTCCTGTTTCTGCATGCTACTGCCTAAGCCACATCCCTTTGTTGTTTAGCATAAGGCTAACTTCCGGTTCCGGTGCGCTACTTCCGGGGCTGCACTGCGGCGGTGTTTACACTGATTCTAACCACACTCTACCACTAAAACTGCTTGTTTGTTGTTAGGATTAATGCTACCCTGCTTCCCCAAATTGCATTCTATTACTAAACTCAATGTTTTGGTGTTTAGATTATTGCTTACTCCCTGTCTCTCCTCATTACATGCTATTGCTAAATCGCATTACTTCTGTTGTTTAGACTAACGCTAACTTCATGTCTCTCATCACTACATACTTTAACTACAACTGCATTACAGTTGTTGTTTAGACTAACGCTAACGTCCTGTTTCTCCTCACTACCCGCCAATGCTAAACCGCATTACTTCTGTTGTTTAGACTACTGCTAACTTCCTGTTTCTCGTTGCTACATGCTTTAGCAGCTGCATTAATTTGTTGTTTAGACTGGTACTAACTTTCCTGCTACCGCTAACGCTAACTGCTAATTGCTACCGCTAGTGCTACTTCTAACGCTACTGCTACCACTAGTGCTACTACTAACACTACCGCTACGCTAGTGCCCCGAAAGCTATTGCCGCGCGCGTAACCACAACCCTGACTGCTCCAACGCTGCTAACCCCAACCCTCTCCGCCGATACGCAGGTGAAGAAACACTAAGGCCTGACCCCAGTCCGAAACCACCTTCTCGCATACACCACTGCAAGAAGACGACGCAGTGGTCACGGTTTTAACATACATCAAGGTTTGCACCACCACACGTACAACAGCTTAACAACCCACTCTAAACACTACTTCCCTCCTTTCCTTCTCCCACCGTGTCATGCACACGCGCTCCAAGTCACACTCGCATACACTCACTCACGCAAGTATGGACAACGGTGGCGACGCCTCGCCGCGCCCGAGCGAACACGACGATGGGTTGGAGGAACAGGACGTAGTGGATAACTTTCTGCGTGACCTCACCGAAAAGCTATCCCCGGGAACCTATGACACGCTTGAAAGCAGCTTGCCCTCTGACTTACAGGATGCCACCTCCATGTTGGCATCCGAGGCTATTACAAAGAAACTCGAAGGTAAGACCCTGACCCAGTGGCTGGGACAACTAGCCGCAGTCTCCAGGATAACCTTATGCGACTCCGAAGCTCAGAAAGAAAAGCTTCAAGACACGGTAGGTGAACTACAACGGCAACTAGTGGAAGCTAGAAAGTCCGTCGAAAACCTTAAACAACACCAACAGGTAAGTAGAGACCACCTACAGGGACTGGACGTTACTCCAAGCGCGACCATGGATCTTGACCGCGCAGCGAGAATCAGGGCCGCTATGACGGACGGAACCAGTCGGGAAAATGCCTCCCGATCACAATCCCCTCCCACCGACCACGGCAGCCCATCGTCCGATAGGGACCGCAGGAGCGTGGCCGAACTGGTAAGTATTCTCACAGGAAAATACCAGGGTCAAGGACAAAGGGGTAATAAAGGCCCCAACGATGCAAACCGGAGCAGGCCCCAACGGTCCGCCGACGACGGACCCAACCAAGTCGCGCGCGACCCCAACCAAACAACGGGACCGCACCCAACCACAGCCGACCCACAACACAACAGACGCATCGACTACTTCGACCCACCTACGAGCCAAGCCACGCACCACATGACAGACCGCTCGCGGGACCCCAGGGACCTCTCCGTCTATGAGAGACAACCCCCTTCCAGACCCGTCGTAGCACATCGGGACATAAAATACGAGACGCATGGCTACCAAACCCATAGACCCGGACTGACCGCGGACCACGGCGAACAACGGCCAACAACCCGCCAATGGGACGGTGGGGACCACCACAACAATGGAAGGGACCCCCACGGCACCCCTCCGGGCACACACATGGACATGCTAAACAGACAACATGACTACCCAACCCATGACTCTGGACCACCTGACGTCCATACGAGACATAGTTCAGACTACCGCCATTGGGACGAGAGGGCCCAACCTGAACATGGCAGGCAACCCTACAACGACCCCCCTGGCGCACATCAGAACATGCTACCCGGACCACACGATGTACGGTACTCTTAGTCTGGGCCGTCCGCATACGCTGCGACACAATGGCCAGCGACCCACCATGGGAATGCCGGGGACCTCCCTGACCATGGAAGATACCCCCACGGCACTCTCCCTGGCTCACACCAGGACTTGGCCCTATGTCAACGTAACTACCCGGACTATAGAGGACGCGACACCCATTACACGCCCCCATCGGTCGAGACCTCCTCGGCCCATCCGACCGTGACTTTGACCGCATAGCCAGACACATAAACCGCTTTGACCCCCTGCCTGGCATGCCTACGGACACCCAATCATACCTCCGCGACATTGACTCCCACACTGACCGCATACCAAACGCATCTCCAGGAGACAAAATATTCTTGATTAGGCTCACGTCCAATAGAGAAGTGAATAACTTCATCGAAAGGCAACCAAAAGCCATAAAACATGACTACAATGAGCTCTGCAAAGCCATCCTGGCAGAATACTCAGATTACGGTGCCTCCGGGACCCTCACGGCAGCCATGGCAGTCAAACAAACTCACAACGAGCTTGCGGACTGCTACTACAACAGGTTGAGACAGGCCTACTTCGGCAACCAAAACTACGAAGGGATGGAGGAAGATAAAAATTTCAAGGCCCTGTACATCCAAAACCTCCACCCCAACCTTAGCCACCTACTAGGCGTGTACGCCTGCCCCCTTACACAGGACATACGACAACTGAAGACCCTAGTGGCAAGGGCGCAGAGCAAACACTTACTCAAACCCCAAGTGAAGCCACAAAACCAGCCTACAGTGTACAGTGTGGACAAACACATGGAACTCGAAGGCGCACCAACCACCCAAAAACAAAAATGGGGGACAGATCGAAGGCCCCAAAGCAATAACCAGCGACGCACAGACCCAAAGAACAGACAATGGCACGACCAAAAGTTCACGCCATTCGACGATAACCGCGCCGCCCAGCCGGACGGGAAAGACCGCGCACCGCAGTTAACTCCCCAAGACCGCCCCGCTACAACCATAAATAAAAACAAACTTTCCAGGGAAGAACAATCCCTCCTCCGCTCACTCCTGCGCAAAGCCAGAGAAAAAAGGACAGACACTGCTGACGTGTTCGCAGTGTCCGTGTCGGATGAGACCAATGACGACTATCCCTACTAAATGAACAACGACCTTAGCGTGCAACAGTCGGAGGACACCTACTTCGACCCACACGTCCTTCGGGACCTCCAGGACGAGGTAAGCGAAGAACCCCGAGACCCACACGCACAGAATGAGAACGCCCACTACGACCAGAGGGACGTCATGGTGATACAGGTAAACTCCATCACAGACTCACGAAGGGATTGCCCCTCGACGATCAACTGCAAACCACCGTTCCACCAGTTCATTGGCGATCTACAACAAAAAGGTACCTACGGGAAACTCTACTTGCCCGTGACGCTTGAGGACCAATGGGAACACGAAGCGCTCGTAGACACAGCTGCCGACATCAGCATGATTGGCGACGATCTCTTCGGTAAGTTACAGTCCCTGGCCAGAAAATCCCACAGAGACCTAAAAACACAGCCGTGCGACGTGGAAATACGACCCTATTCCCAGGTAAACACGACCATACGTAAAATGGCGCTAATGCAACTGACCGTGGGCCCCATGACGCTAGTCCACCCGGTCTACAGCTCCCCATTCAACGCGCATCCACTCCTACTGGGCCAGGACCTTCTAAATCAGTTAAAACCCCCAATAGACTTCCAACGTCTAAAGATCTGGGCACAAGTCCGGGAGCCCTTACCCATCCCACGCCCACTGAGCGAGAACCACTGCTACTTCATAGGAGCGCCGCCGGCAGACTGCCTACAGCCCGCCGCGACACAAACCGAAACCGGTCAGGAAACGGCCACAATCTGCGCGATCACTCGGGCAAACGCCGCTAAACTGGACCCGACACCCGACGCTGCGCCCACGCGCACAACCCCCGACTTCGGCAAGTCGGACCTAGCCTCCCTCCGATGTGCGGACCCCACACTAAAACGCCCCAGCGACGTCACGATCAACGCGACGCTCAAAATCTTCGGGCGTGATAAAGACAAACTGCCAATACGCCATGGGCTGTTAGTTTCTGCTTCCAATGCACACACTTCGTCGGTACTCGTGGTGCCTCGAAGCATGAGGGGGGTGATGTTGGCACATGCCCATGACGCACCTACCGTGGAACACAGAGGTATAAACAACACACACCAGGCACTACAACAGGTAGAAAGGACGGACCGGACGGTGATTGAAATACTAAGGTACGTATCCTCAAACCAGAGTGACTGGAACATGAAACTGCTCCTGAGGGCAATCCGAGCCACACCCCACCGCTCCACGGGAGTTTCCCCATCCGAAATGTCGACAGGTAGGCAAATGACGCTCCCGCTGCATCGGCTCTACCAACCGGCTGAGGCGAACATCGCCACGGCCTACACCACACACCAATACAGGACTGACCCGCAGGACCACCTGGAACAGACGTTTGCATTTACACAGAAGAAACTGGGAGACAGCGCCGAAGGACGCAAAGCCTACTACGATCAAAAGGCGTCTCGCAACGAGCTCCAGGTTGAAAACCAGGTATGGTATTACACCTTTGCACATTCCCCAGGACAAGTGGGGACCGGCCCCACCGGACTACGCCGGAAACTGCTACCCCGCTGGTCAGGACCATACAGGGTGGTAAACAAACTCTCAACCGCAGTGTACCAGATCGAGGTCACAAAAGGTAGGAGAGAACCCACCCTCAAATCGGGTCGTCACAACCAAACCAAACCACACAAACAAAGCCCCATGGGACAGGTAGGGCACACTACCAATCCCAGTTAGGAACACACCATGTGCCCTCGAACACTATTAGTCCAGCAACCACTAACCTTCTTCTTGGCTGTACTAATCGAACCTCTCTCTCTCTCTCTCTCTCTCCGCCTAACCCCTAACAGTTGTCTCACACTTTGCAGAACATGTGGCCCACTCTCCTCCTTGTGCTGACCTGCATAGTGTGCCTCGGCACCCCAGAAATTATTGAGACCGGACCAGCCTCCGGGATCGTTTTAAAGGAACAACCCGGACTCCTCATCACGAATGTCCGAATCCACACACAGCGAATCTTTGTCAGACTCAACCCTAGTGAAGTCTGCCGCAAGAACCTGCCCTCTGAAGTCACACTCAAAGATTGGGCGGGCGCCCGCTGGACCCAGACGGTCGTGGAGCACGCAGAAGCAGAGATACAGCACATGCTGACACAGCTAGAGAAGTTCACGATCACTAGGACAGAGCTCAGTGGCCCTCGCCCCAGACCCAAACGATTTATTGGGGCTCTCCTCGGCGCAGCATCCGCCCTGAGCACCCTCTTTAGCCTGGGGATGTCCACGGTAAACGCCATTAGCCTATCCTCCCTCAGACGCCACCAACTAGAAATGGCCTCTGAACTTGAGGACGTCAAAACCAGACTTGACCAGCAACAGAACGACGTGGTGACCTTGGGAAAATCCCTGAAAGGAACCATGCTAGTACTTAACACACATGAGGTCGCGATTAAACGCACCTCCGCTGCGGTTAATCAACTCTTAGACGTTCTCCAATTAGACTACGCCCATACTCAGCCGACCACCCAACTGATGGATGACATGCTACGTCACCTCAGCTCCTCGATCGAAAACCTAGCCATGGGCCGTATCCCGCCATACCTCGTGCCGCTATCGCTAGTTGAGGACATCCTAGCCGTAGCCACACGGGACGCCGTAAACCCCATGCAAGCCCACTTGGCGTACACGCTGGGCGCTGCAGTCCCCATCTATGTCAATCCACTGGACCGCGAGGTAGCCTTCCTAGTCACCCTACCGATAGTTCCCGGCGATAAAATCTACCGACTAAAAGGGATCACTAACCTAGGGACCTGGAAGGACAATGTCCACGTCAGAGTACAGACGCCAGACATAGTAGCCTATGTTATGTTATCTTACCTGTGTCTGTCCTTGTAACTGTGACTGTAACTTTGTGCTGTTCTCTGTACTATGTTTGTATTTTCCTTCTGTCAATGTTTCTTTTCCTGCCTTAGGACAACGGATGCAATTTAGCTCTCACGCTAATTCTGGTACATTTACATTGATGCTTTTGGCTGACGTGTTGATTAATGTGCACTGTCCTAATTCAAATAAATAAATAAATAAAATAAATACCACGACAGCAACCCGAACTTGTACCTAACGCCAAATCTAAGGATGTGCACCCTCACCAAGGACATCCACTACCTCTGCCCCAGTAAACCTTTCGTCAGGGACAGCACAGATGGCATCTGCGGCCTGAGGCCCATGACTCCAGGGAGTCGATGCCCTGCAACGGTCACCTCTCGAAACCAGGTAACCGAAACCAGAGCAGAGATCGTAGGGGCAAGATGGCTAGTGAACACTCCCCTTAGAACGGCGACCTTGACCTATGACAAACATGACACCTCGTCCCAGGTAAACCTCCCGGATGAAACCTGGGTCAACGTCCCAGCCGACGCTATCCTACACGTAGGCGACCTAGCATTATACCACCTGCACCCAAACCAGTACGAGGCAGAGGTCGAGGTACCAGAGTTCTTTGAGAAAAAGGACTTGGAACTTCAACCCTCCACCCTCGTCCAAGCCTACCAACCTACGAGGGGGCGCAAACCGTTGACGTTACGGCCGTAGACAACCTCCTTCAAGAGATTGCCAAGCGGCCGACCATCAACCACCAACCAGTAACCTACTCATGGGCAGCCCCCGATACGGTCTTGGCCACCGCAGTAGGACTTGGGTATGGCCTGGCCGTAGCCATGGCCTTCGTCTTAAACAGACGGGTTAGACGACTCCGCGATAACTTTAAAAGGTGCACGGAGGCAATGACGAGACAGATCCGTAAACGACCAAACCCGGGGCGACAGCACCATCGAGCGTGGCAATTTAAGCCGGCGCCCCCAAGTCAACGACTCAGAGTACGAGGACCTTCAGAGCCACCCACGCGAGACGGTCACTCTTGCTATCACAGAAGGTGAACCAAGGGCCTAAAACCCACCAGGAGTCACCAGCTCAGACCCAAACATATCTACCTCGATACCCGATCAGTCTCCCAGACAATCATACCTGTCATCCCTGTTTATATATAGGAAAATCCCCTCGTAATTAAAAGTCCCACTTGCTACGTCGTATATTTTTGTAACCCTTATACTCCCCTTTTAGAACGAGCAAGATGGGAACCCCTCGCCAGTGAGTGCCTTAATGACTCGCCCAATTGCTGCCAAGACAGCCAACCCCTTTTGATTTTTGAAGTTTTCTTTATATTTTTGTATTCTAGTCCCCTAGAAATGGAAACTCTTGCTAGTCTCTCGGCTTGGAACTTTGAGTCTTCCAGACCAAGAGACCCAGGAGCCAGGCGCACCGACTCAAACTCTAGAGTTCACCGCCCCATAGCTCACTCCATGAACCCCTGATCCCGGTTAGAACTAGCCTGCAGGGCCAGGACACGCCTTAGAGAAAACCCGGCCTCAACAAACCAAGCCAGAGGCCCGAGACCCAACCGCCACGAGCCTGGCCCCAGTTAGGCGCCTGCGAATTACTGAGTCACATTAAGGCGAGATTGTTATAACATGTCACCACAAATCACACACTAACACCCGAACAGGCGAGGCGACCGACTGAGGACATCCGCCCGGCATATCCGACATGACATGCACCTTGTCGGAAGTGAAACACATCTCAAAAAATACACAGAAATGATCCGAAAGAGCAACATTGACCACGTTAACATTGGAAATATTCACCCCCTTAGTAACTAACAGATCTAGAGTGTGCCCTCTGCTGTGGGTGGGGCCACTCACGTGCTGAGTGAGACCAAAGGTATCAAGTAAAGAACTCAGCTCTTTTGCATTTCTGTCATTAACATTATCCACATGAATATTAAAATCACCTGTAATAACTAAACTATCAAAATCTGTGCATACAACTGAAAGCACCTCGGTAAAATGATCAATAAAACTGACATGACTGCGGTGGGTTGTATAGAACTATGAAGAGTACTGGAGGAGATTGTTTTTGTTGTATTTTAAAAGACACATATTCAAATGACAAAAACTTCCCTAGAGACATTCTATGGGACACAAAGTGGTCTCTGAAAATGGCAGCTAAGCCTCCTCCCTTTTTGTTTTCCCGTATTTCAGATTAAAATTTGAAATTTGGTGGTGATGCTTCTATTAAAACTGCATTTCCTGTATTTTGGTCAAGCCAAGTTTCAGCCATGAACATAAGATCAAGATTATAAGAACAAATAAAATGATTGATTAAAAAAGACTTGTTACAAAGAGGGGGGGTTGGAGGTGGATGGGTGTTAGGGGAGGGGCAGGAGTTGGGAGATGGACGAGGGGGGAGTGGAGGTGGAGGGGTTCTTGGTTCTTGGATTTCGCGGGTGAATTTGAGTTAGAATTTGAGGGACGGGTGGATTTTGTGGGAGAATTTGAGTTGGACGCCTTAGGTGGCTTTGGAGGTACGTATGGGGAGTAGTTATGAATGTTAGATAGGACTCTTGATCTGGCTACAGTGGTTGTGAGAGGAATAGTCTTCATCGCCGATCTTATCATGCCTGCAGAGTGTTCCGGTAAATCCAATAGTGATGGAAAACATAGGGAAAGGTCGTCCTCATGTTCCTTAGATGGAGTGGATGTGGCGGGGGGGACCCAAACCGGGTCCATGGAAGGTGATGAGGGATTCTTTGGTGGAGACGGAGGTGGTTGAGAGGCCCCCAGTGCAGGCCTGTCTATAGCCTGGAGGAATGGGGGGGGCTTCACGCGAGCTGTAGGTGGGGAAGGTGCTGCTGAAGATGATGCAGCAGCCACAGCTGGTGCTGGTGGTGCTGATGCTGAAGGCGCTGATGACGCTGTGGCAGCCACTGCTGCTGCTGGTGCTGTATCCGCTGCTGATGATGGTGCTGGTGAACGTGTTGAGTTCTTTTGAGGCGGTGGAGGTGCCGAGACCTCTGGGTTCCGTGGAGAGGGTCTCGCCCTTTGCATCCTCCTCTCTTTCAACGGCTGAACGCGCTGCGCAGGCTCAGGTCTTGTAAGGCAGATGTAAAGTTATCCATCAACACTTTTACTCCGTATTTGTTCAGATGTGGGCCTTTCCCTTCAAAAAGCTCGAGCTGATTCCAGAATAGATTGAAGTTTTCAGTGAATCCAAGTCCTTCTACGCACCAGGGCATTCCTAGAGAATGTATGTGGAAAAAAGTTTTATATGTGGTGAAACTTCCATATTGCCGCATTAACCCTACATTGCCCGAAGCCAAAGCTGAAAGACCAAGGCCATCTCGCCGATGAAAGAGAAGCCATCTTCCCGTGGACCCACCACCTGCAGGAAGGTCAGCGAGGGACTGGTGCTATGAGACTTGGGTAGCAGCTCTGATTGCCAGAAATGGAATAATAAAGGAGTAGAAAATGATGATGAAAGTAATAGAAATACATTATTTCGCAGGTGCCTTTCTAGACACTTGCCTTACGTCACAAGTAAAAAGTAAATTTAGTTCAAATACAGGGTAAAATACAGTTAAAATACTAAAATTTATTA